CCTTGAGTGGTGCAGACAACGGTCACTCTGGGATCAGGAATGGAACAGTATTGTCTTTAGTGACGAGTCTCGATTTTGTTTAGGCTGCACGATGGTCGTGCCAGGGTTAGAAGGCGACGTGGTGAAAGGAGGAATCCACAGTTTTTTGTTGAAAGACATGCTCATCACACTGTTGGAGTTATGGTTTGGGGTGCTATAGCTTATGGTTCCAGGTCACCTTTAATCTTCATCAGAGGTAACATGAACGCGCAGCATTATATTCACGAAGTTCTAGAACCCCATCTTTTACCCTATCTTGACACCCTGGCAGATCCAACTTTCCAACAAGATAATGCCCGACCACATGTTGCAAGAGTCACAATAGACTTCTTTCAACATAATGATGTAACATTGTTACCATGGCCACCAAGATCTCCCGACTTATCCCCAATTGAGCACGTATGGGATATGATGGGTAGGAGATTGCTCAATTTGTAAGAAAGATATTTTCAGAAAACCCTTTTCACTCAGTAGAGGAATACTACGATCATGATTTTTAAATGTGCTTTATCTATTATGGTTTGTACCTACTGTGTAATATTATCTTGATTGTTTTGTACACTGTACGTCTATTTTTGACTATATTCCTACACTACCTTGTAATCCAACGAACATTATTTATTTATATATTTTACATTGTGGAAACGGTTTTCCTAAATACCCATCCGTTATTGTTGACAAATGTGTTGCTTTTATTTGACCCTTAGAGCGCTTTTTGGGGTTTCAGTATGATACGGAGGGTGCCCTTCTGGAAAATATCATTTCATTATGCACCATTGTTCTGCACCCACTTCATAAAAACCTGGGTGCGCCCTCATTTTTGCAGATCTCATTTTAAAATCGGCGTATGGTCCATATTCCAAGGATGTGAAAGAACGGTGATGTAACAGTTTTTTATTTCTCCCAAAATTGAGAATAAAACACGTGTCCTACAGATTATGTTAAATACATAGTTACCTGCGACGAAGCTCAGTATGGTGCCACGAATATTAAGTATTAAGTAATACCTACGTCATGTCTATCGACCACCCGTACGTTCGATATAGGTACCGTCCTTGACCAGAAAATGCGACTTCGCAAGGGCCACTCAATGACTGGATCATGCATTCATCTCATCAACAGCGTCATCAAAAATTGATTAAGCGTTTTCTGGAAACGATATTTCCCATATCTGTACCTCAGAGCCAGACTAGGTTGAGTCCATTTTTGTCAAAAATGATTTTAATATGTTAAGCTTATGATAATATTGTGAATTTTTATTTGCTACATGCAGCGACCATCTGCCTGTAATAATAAGGCCGTTACAACTTTTTAACTCATGTCAATTCCCATACAATACAATGCAAGAAAAATATTTCAAATACAGTTATCTCAAAACTACTTATTTGAACTTAACCTAGACAGGCTCTGAGGTACATATATTGGCCAAGAGATAGGGAGATTTTGTATGAGGAAATTCTACATTTTGGGCGACAGTATATTTTTTAACGGTATTGTGAGCTTATTGCTTCCTAATAATACGAAATTGGCGTCAACCTAGGGCTGGCGGAGTTTTTTCCGCCATTTTGATAAATGCCATTATAACAATTTATTAGAAAATTGAGTTTCGCTCAATTTAAAACAGGCCATTGCATTTTGGCTACGAGAAATTTAAGGTTAAATGTACATGTAATGATATTTTCGCTTATCATGGTTAAACTAATAAATTAACCCTCGAAAGACTACCATCTTTTTTAGTAGAGAATAACATTTACAACAAAAAAGGTCTCATACAGTTTTGTTTCGTAAATATGGTGATTGTCAAATAACAAAAGGCGAAGGAAGTTAAATTTTCTATCATCGATCAATATGACGAAGCGGTCTGCGATGTCAAAACAGATTGAATGGAACTTCTCACAGAGTAGCCTTACGTGTCAGGATGGAACGATTGTAACAGACTCCAGAAAACTGGAAATTTGCTTATGTCCAACAAATCCAAAAAAAGGATCTGAGACCGACAATTACACCAACAGGCTTATAGCCCACTTTCTTTCTTAAGTAAGGTAATGGAGAGGTGCCTAAATCGCGAGCTTCTGGACTACCTCGAACGTCACGGCTTGATTAGCGATAGGCAGTATCGTTAAAGATACTAGCGCTCCACAGGGGACCTCCTAGCTTACGTCACGCAATTGTGGAGTAAACTCATCCAGCCTTATGGTGAGGCTCATGTCGTTGCTCTTGATACCTATGACGCAGCTCTCTTGAGCAAATTTCCATCTTATGGCCTCTTAGAGAAGCTTTGCAGATACGTGGATCACTTTCTTTATCGCCGCAAGATATCCGTCGTAATTGACAAGTCCTCCTCTTTATCCCACAATGTCAACACGGGTGCTCCCCAGCGATCGGTATTTGCTCCCACAGTACAAACCAACGACCTTATTTCGTGTACGATCAATCCCATCTATAGCTTCGCTGATGACAGCACTCTATTTGCAGGGATTGAGAGCGACAAGCCGATATCTGCCGGTGAGCTAGGAAAAGAAGACTAGCGGCAAAGGCTAGTGGCAAAGACTAGTGGCGATTTCCTCGCTGACGAGAGACCTGACGGTTATCACTGCTTGGGGACGCAACAATCTTGTAAAGTTTAATGCTTCTAAAACACAGTACAAACAAACAGCGTCCGGGCGCTCATCCGTTTCATTTCGGCTGGCCGGAGTCCACTTCTATACAAGGCCAAGGTAAGACCTAGCTCACACGTTTGGGGTGCTGCTTTCCCGACTACATTATTTATGCTCGATACTGATCGATGCCCCTTCTCTAAAAGACAGTCTCGGGACCCTCTCTCACCAGCGGGAGGTCGGCGATCTAGCTGTCTTTTACCGCTACACCAACGGACGTTGCTCCTCATAGCTCTTCTCCATGATGCCGCCGCGTGATATGCTGTCAGACAGAGCCGCCTGACTTCGACCTTCCATCCTAACCGTGTCGAACTCCGTACATCCAGATCTGGCCGATACGATCGCTCGCTCCCGAGGGTGTCGATATTGTGGAACAATCTACTATAGGAAGCTTTTCCCAGTTCTACTTAACTTAGGCAGTACAAAAATCGGTTTGACAAAATTTCTCTGGGATCCTCATAGCAGCCGCGGTGCACTGGCAGTTAGGCTTCTGCTTGCGTGGCTGCTTCGGCGTGAAAAAAAAATAACGCATCACAGAAACAGTGATGCGACTTGGATTGACCTTTTGTGAGGGAACGCTATACTATACTAAGTGACATATAAATCCGAACACTCAGTTTAAATGGTTTTATTTTAATAAAATTTTGTATAAGTACTTAATAAAGCATAATAAGTAAATGATAAAAATTTCAAAATGATTGCACTGCTTTTAAGCCCTTTGACCTTTAATAATGTGTTGATGCACCCTGATGTGCTACGCATTCTCCAACGCGCCTAGGCATGCTTCTGATCGGGTGGTCAATGTCCTCCTGTGGTATCTCATTCCAGGCAACCACCAACTCCTCTCGAAGTGCTTCTAGAGTCTGAGGAGGACGTTGCAAATTGAGCAATCTCCTACCCATCATATCCCACACGTGCTCAATTGGGGATAAGTCGGGAGATCTTGGTGGCCATGGTAACAATGTGACATCATTATGTTGAAAGAAGTCTATTGTGACTCGTGCAACATGTGGTCGGGCATTATCTTGTTGGAAAGTTGGATCTGCCAGGGTGTCAAGATAGGGTAAAAGATGGGGTTCTAGAACTTCGTGGATATAACGCTGCGCGTTCATGTTACCTCTGATGAAGATTAAAGGTGACCTGGAACCATAAGCTATAGCACCCCAAACCATAACTCCAACAGTGTGATGAACATGTCTTTCAACAAAAAACTGTGGATTCCTCCTTTCACCACGTCGCCTTCTAACTCTGGCACGACCATCGTGCATGCCTAAACAAAATCGAGACTCGTCACTAAAGACAATACTGTTCCATTCCTGATCCCAGAGTGACCGTTGTCTGCACCACTCAAGGCGATTACGTCGGTGTTCTCGAGTTAAAGGGAGGACCCAGTGTGGCCGGTATGAAAACAAGCCAAAACTTCTCATTCGTCGGTAAACACTTCGCATGCCAATAGGTCTTCCGTGTTCTGCAAACCATTCATTTGCAATGGACCTGGTAGTGGAGAAACGGTCCTTTAAGGCCAATAATCTTAGGCGGCGATCTTCACGGTCTGTTGTTCTACGGCGGCGTCCAGGGCCCCTTGCTCTTTGCGTACGGCCTTCTCGAAGCCATGCCTGACAACATCTAACCACAGTGTCTACACTTCTTTGCACTTTAACTGCAATTGCCCGAAAAGAAAGTCCAGCTTCCCGAAGTCCCACTATACGGCCCCTATCAAACTCACTAAGTTGACGAAATCGCACAGGTCTCCGTACTTTAGGCATCGTAACCGATCGTAAAGGATGACAAGAACCAAAATCCGCCAACGTTGATTCTTTACTGCGGCTGAAATATTCATTTTTAGAGCGTTAGTGAATTAAAAAAAAGCCGTATAAAAACCGGAATGTCCAACTGATAAGGCTGAAAATTTTTTCACTTGTTATTTACAGAAAGATAAATACATTCACCAACTTTTATTAAAATAAAACCATTTAAACTGGGTGTTCGGATTTATATGTCACTTAGTATACCTTCGTGTAATCGCGGTATTTTAGAAATATTAAGTAGGTATTCAGAGTCTTGTAATTGCTAGTGACATGTTTTTACACGAAATTCAAGACAGTCTGTTGCAGCACATACAGTATTATATTAAAATGATAGTAGTCTTATTTCGCATTACATTTTGTTTTTCAATTATTCCTATTACGAGAGAAGCAAATTCAACATCAAAGTAATTTTAGACTTGTGTGACGGAAATCTTAGTACACATGGATGCCTTACATTCGACATTTTAAATCCATCCTTTTCTTGATGACAGATAACGTCAGGCCTGATGCTGTACGAATCTCGAAAAAAAAATCAATATTTAATTTTCGAAAATTTTCGCCATTACAATACTTCCACGAAGTAAAACGTTACGGTAGTAATTAATATTGATACGACGTAGGATTAAAACCAAGATGTTCGCACTAAAAAGGCAATGACAGCATCCGTATTGCACTTTAATGCTTGCAATATTTTAAAGGTTAGTTAATGGTCTTGTTAATCCTACTTTTCATGACAATCTTTTTCGGCAATTGTGTGGATCTGAAATTCGAATACGACCTTTGAATATTAATAAAGCCGGCCTTGCGCAGAACATATTGATGCTATTTTTATTTACAGGTATAAATTGGACATGAGCATCCAAGAGGTGATTCATTTGTTGAAAAATCCAGACGTCAACATGGCTCTCAGGGTAAGTAATGTTATTCGCAGAGTGTTATGTGTATTTATTGTGTGATTTTTGTCTAAGTTGCATAATTTCCGGAATTTGGATAATATATTTTTATAATGGATGTTATATCACAAAAATCCATAAAGCTCACTTTCACCGGCTTATCTGTTTTTGAGATACTTTCACTTCAAACACATAACGAGGTTGTTGTCGCAAAAATTGGCGACTTTCAGATATTGAAGTTTTTTTAATGTCTCATTATTCTCATGCTTTAAAAGTATGCTGCTATGTCTGTTGACGTTTTTGTCTTTGCCGGTTGATGAAGTTTGGAGAATAATATCTGTTCATCGCAGATGTTGTTACTTAGGTAAATTGACACACATTCATAAGCACCAATTTCCAGGTCTTCCATTAGTATAATCGAAAACTCTCCGTAAATGAGACGTTTTTCTCCGTACCCGGATCTTTTGACTTCTCATGCCAATGGCATGACAATATGTTTTTTGAATGCTTTATGAGATCTACATACATCACGAAACTCCGTGCCATCCATTTCCGACCGTCTGTCATTCTGTTCGTCCGTCCGCATATCCTTGGCCCGTCTATAACTTGGAGAGTATCGCTCGGACTTTGATCCAATTTTCACAAAAGGTCACTATGCCAAGAACGAAAAAGCTTTGTAGCGTTTGGAAATCGACCCAGTGGAGCTCAGAAATTCAACTTTAAGTCAAATGAGATATGAAAAAGCAGCATATTTATTATCCCTCCGTCAACAAAATGATTCAAAAATGTTTTATAGATCCTTAAAATAAATGCGTATCCAACAGTCACAAAATCCCGATATTCCTCTACATTTAAAGAACCCTACTGACATTAATAATTATTTCTGTTCCATTTTTAATAACGCCATTTGTTCATGCACAGAGAAGATTGAGCATTATGAAAAGAATCACTATGCTAGTGATCGATTCAAGTTTAAACCAATCGATATGACTGATTTAAAATCGATGTTCCAGTCTCTGAAATCGAATGCCTTAGGAAGCGATGGCGTATCATTCAAAATGCTAAAACTATTCTTCTTTGCGATTTCAGGTCACATTTTACACATCATAAATACTTGTTTAGAAAGGGGATTCTCCCCAGAATCATGGAAAGAAGCATATAGCTAAAATAACTAAGCCAAAATTATATTCTGATTTAAGACCAGTTAGTATTTTACCTGTTTTGTCCAAATTATTAGAAACAGCCAATGTACGCCCAAATTTATGATTATCTCTCTAAACATAAAATTTTGCCTCCCGAACAATGCGGTTATCGAAAAGGATATAACTCTGCAGGTGCCCTATCAGACTTAACTGATAACATTGTTAGAGCCTGGGATCAACATATGATCACATCATTAGTTCTTCTTGACTTCTCTAAGACATTCGATACCATAAATCATCGTCTTCTAGTAGCCAAGTGCAAATATTTTGGTTTTTCTGACTCTGCCTCAAAAATGATTCAGAGCTTCTTAGGAAATCGATATCAAAGGATACACATTGACATGGTTCTATCTTCAGAGTGCCTCATTTTCTTCTGAGTGCCTCAAGGGTCTGTACTTGGGCCACTCCTATTCATTTTGTATATTTCTGATCTCCATTCAGTTGTTAAATCTTGTAATATCCAATTCTTTGCCGACGATTCACAGATCTACAGTCATTTCCATAATCACGACATTCGAAATGCTGAATCTGAGGTGAATGAAGATATAACATCTATTAGTATGTATGCAAAAAATCATAACCTTCAGTTGAACCCTTTAAAATCGAAAGTCATCATTTTTTCACCAAAACTATTTAGAAGTGATGCCAAAAGAAATTTTAAAGTAAAATTAAATGGTGAGACTATAGAAGTAAGTGAGTCAGTAATAAAGTTGGGCGTAACTTTAGTTGAATGTCTAAATTTTATACCACATGGAAATAATATCAGTAAGATTTGTTTTTCAATTTTACGTCAATTATATCTTAATGAACAATTTCTTGACTTTACAACTAAAAAAAATTTGTGTGAATCTTTGGTAATGTCCAAAATTAGTTATTGCGATTTAGTTTATCTTCCATTTCTTGACTCAATATCTCTAGCACGTCTCCAAAAAATCCAAAACTCATGTTTTAGGTTGATCAATAATTTGAAAAAATATGATCATATCAGCCCTTTTTTCAATGACATGAAGTGGTTGACAGTACAGTTGAGCTACACCTAGTTACTTACACCTACAGGCTTTTACTGTCATCCATTCCGCCGTTTTTGTGAAATAAGCTGATATCTAGAAGCAATATTTAATAATTCGATTCACTGAAACATTCACAATGCCCCTCCACAGGACATCATTCTTTCGTAAATGCTTCACCGACAACGCAATTATTTTTTACAATGCTCTACCTCGATCCACAAAATTGCTATCATATGATGAATTTAAAAGACATATGAAGAAATTTATTTTGAATAGAAGTATATAAATTAGTTGATAAAATTTATCAGTCACCCCACATAAAAATATTTCCAATATAGCATTCCTTTGTTTTGTATGACTGTTACAATTTTATACTTTTAAATCATGAAATATTGAATAGCCTTCACTTATATTCGTTGTTATACACCATATTTTTTATACACCTTCATTTGTAATCTTCTAACTTATCCAATGTATTTATGTTTTTTGTATTGTTTTTACAGTTTTTCTTTTTTTTGGGTTAAGTGGCAGAGTAGCATTATGCTAAACTTCGCCCCCTAAATAAAGACGATTTATTATTATTATTATTATGTATACTTCTGATCATTTTTGAAAACTTTTTAAGGGTGAGGAGTTATAGGTGGTTATCGTTTTTTTTGTCGGTAATATTTTTATACACGCCTAGCGCCTATTAAGCACATTTCACACATATTTCCCGGTATATTTGCCCTAAAGACAATGATAGAAACAACTTGATGCGTATAAAGGGTGACGCCGCTATCGGGCTAATATTCACTCATTTTAGTGGAGAGCCCAAGGAGGTATATGGAAAAATCCTACAAAGTGAAAACCGCATGTCGTTATCTTTCTTTGTGATGAAGCTTTTTTGTAAGTCTATGACACTTCCACGTCCTCACGTCTCACTCAAATAGTCAGATTTTTTAAATGAACACTTTTCAGAATGTATTTTACTTACTTTATTTTAGTCTCATACGCGCGACCTAACCATTGATTTTTTTTGCTATTCTGATCGACTGCTCTAAACGTATTATCTTGTATAAGGGGCTTATACAGAGTGTTTCAGTTTATTGTTGCATAACTTTAAGATTCGATAGAACTTTTAAAATTAATGCATAAAGTCTATATAAACATGGAACCGAAATACAGGGTGTTTAAATTTCCTTTCTAAAATAGTATTTTTTTAAATATTTCGGACAATATTTGATGTATAACAGTGAAAATTGGTATACAAGGGTTTTTTGGTACGAAAAAACGAACCATGGGCATAGTTTTACTGTAGCCGCTAGAGGGCGCTCTCTACTATACCTGTAGTGTATTAAAATGACCGAAAATTTTTTCTTAGTGCAATTTTTGCTTTTTGAATAAAAAAACTGATTCTTCGCACTTTTCAACATAGAAAAGCTCTCTTGTGAATTTTCGTTATAGTTAGCCGTTTTTGAGATATTTTGATTTTTAAGGTTCGATGCATTTTTAATTATTTATGATAAAATAACGTTAAAAAGTCAGTATCTCGATAATTGTCAGAAGTAGGCTGCTCCTGCAAATATTTTTAAAATTGAAAGCAGAATAAGGTTAAACGTCAATTAGTTGACAGTTAGTTTTGTTGTCTGTTGAAACCTGAAACGTTTTTTTGTAATTGTGAATGCATGAAATTTAGTTTCTTTTACCTGTTTTTTTTGTAAGTTTTTTAAAAATGCCATCTTTATTCTCCAATCAAGAGTTAGCGGATATTCATTTTGTGTATGGCTTTGTAAATGGAAAAGCAGCAGAAGCAGCCGGAGAATACGCACGAAAATTTCCAAACAGACATCCAACTCGCTCAGTATTTGTAAGAGTGCATCGCCAAATAATTGAAAATGGTTTTGGAAATCTTCAAAGGGATCAAAACATAAATGTTCGTCAGCGCAGATTTACCCGTATGATTCTGCCTCAGTTTGACAGAGATGTTAGGAGAGTTTCTGGTGCCTTGGGAATTTCAGCAAGCCATGTTCACCGTGTTCTTAGAAATGACCATAGATGTCCTTACCATTTGCAACCTGTGCAAGGACTACAGCCAGGGCACGGAGAACGAAGAATCAGATTTTGTCAGTGGATTCTTGATAGAACTGATAATAATAGGGAGTTTTTAAGTAACGTTTTATGGGCCGATGAGTCATGCTTCACTAGACGTGGAGTGGTAAATTTTCATAATCAACATATTTGGTCGCATGAAAATCCGCATGTAGTTCGGGAAAGAAATTTTCAGCATGAATTTAGTGTGAACGTGTGGATTGGTATCTACCGTAATCGACTATTTGGACCCTACCTTTTGCCTGCAAGGTTAAATGCTGCGACCTTCTTCGAATTTTTAAAGGCTGAACATGCAAATATGTGGGATGATGTTATGTTACATTTAAGAAGATTGGCCTGGTTCCAGCTTGATGGTTGTCCAGCTCATTATTCGAGAATAGTTAGAAACTGGCTGGATGAAAATTATCCAGAAAGATGGATCGGCCGTGGAGGACCAGTCGGCTGGCCTCCACGATCCCCTGACCTAAATCCAGTAGATTTCTTTGTGTGGGGATTTCTAAAAGAAAAAGTGTACCAGACTCCCGTAACCACAAGAGATATGCTAATAGACAGAATCAGGAATGCATGAGATGAAATAAGCCCTTATTTGAATAATGCTACACCACGTTCGATCATTCGTAGATGTGAATTGTGTATTGAGCAATTGGGTTTACATTTCGAGCAACTACTTTAGATTTTGTATGTTTGTCCTAACTATCCAATAGCATTTTAGTTG